TTCAGTTAGATTTTTTGGGTACCATTTGCGCTATCTCCTGACTTTTTACTAATTTAAATTAATCTTAGATTAGTCTTCTTTGAAATATCTAGGCTATTGGATCTATTTTCATGTTTTCTTGTTGTTTTTACAATATCTCTCATTAATTGATGAACAGCAACAACCCTGTGCTCTAGTGCTGACACTCTGTCCTCACATTGATCACTTCTGCTTATACTTTTGATAGAAGTTTCAGCACCTCAATTTCTATTTAGAATACTTTTTTTTTTTTTTTTTTTGGTACTGGGGATCAAACTCAGGTCCTTGTCCTTGTGAGGCAGGCGCGGTGCCACTGAGCTAAATCCCTGGCCCTAGAATCCTTTTTTTAAAAACCCTAATTCTTTTTTTTATTATGGTCATTTGTGTTTTGCATCATTGTCTTTAGCTCTACCAGCTTTTTAATAGTGTCTTCTGTAGACTCACTGATCATTGGTTTATTTGCCCTATTGTCTGTTTACTTATATCTTTTATAATCTGTCCATTGATATGTTTTGTTATCTCTTCTGTTTTGTTTTCAAATAATTTATCTGTATGGTTTTTGTTTTCCTCCCCTTCAGGGCTCCATGAATCAGCTTTGGGGAAACTGGGAGTTTTTTGAGGCATTTTGTTGCCTTGTCTTCTCATGTTTCTAGTTTGTTTGTTTGTTTTGTGTTGAAGCTTGCTGGTTGATTATAGTGGCAAGTTTTGTTGTTAGTATGGAGACCTCTTTAGTTAGTGTCTATTTTTCAGTGGTGCCCTCTGGGCTTGGCTAACCATCAGCCTTTGCCCCGTCCCAGGATCCCATCACCTTTATTTAGTTGGGAAGGAAGGTTGTAGCATACTTGGCCCAGTACCCGGTTCTCCAGGTATGGGCCACTGTATTGTTAATGACCCCCAAGCAATCCAGATATTGGCCTCTTGAGAAAACCAATTAATACTATGAACTATGTCACCTTGGCTATAGTAATAAAATCAGTAACAGTAATAGATCATCAAAGACAGACAGTATTTGATAAACCCTAAGGACCAATCTTGTATCACCATTAACCACAGAAAAGAGAACTATAATAATATGAACACTGAGACAAATCAAATATTAACCTACTGTTAACCTACAGTAAATATCCACTGAACTTTTCTTCCACTAACTACAGAGCAGTACTCAGCAGTAATAGCATAAAGTTAACTAATTATCTAGAGACTACTAGTAACTGTAGAAGGATGGCAAACAGGAGAATGAAAAAAGTAAAATTTGAAAACTATTCAATAGGATATGTTACTGATGAGAAAAAATGAGATGGGGTCCTATAGAGGAGTAAAAGGAAATTAATAATGTCAGAAAGCCATCACAGTAAAGAAAAATAAGAAAAACAGCAAAATAGAGGAAATGAAAGATAAAAATGCAGAGAAAAAGAGTCAAAGGGGACTAGAGAAAAAAAAAATTAAAGAGAGAAAAAGAAAAGACAAAATGGGGTTAAAACCCCATTCCCCCAGAAAACTGATGAAGGAAAGAGAACAATAATTAAAATAGAAAAAAGTTTAAAAGATTGAGTCTAAGAAAAAGTCCCCTGTGTTTTTGAGATACAAGATCTTCAATCTTAGAAGCCAGCCAGTCACAATTTTCAGGTCTATGGAGTTTTGAGGTGTTCCCTGTGCCAGGGTCCCCTCTGTCTATTCATTCCAGTCTGTGGTTATTGTCCAAGCCAGTGTGTTCTTGCTCACACTGGTAGATGGGAAAAGTCATTACCTCTGGTCTCTGCTAGACGTAGGCTGCAAGCAGGGGTTCTATCAGGCCATTGGACTTAAGAGTCAATACTCACTGGATCCAGTTCTGGTTGCTTCCTTCCTCATCCAAGATCAGGTTGGCTGGTTAATCTGCTCTTCTGCTGCCCCAGTTTGGAGGTGGTGACTGTCACGCTGGGTGCAAGACAGCATGGCCAGCTTATTTGCCTCAGTGGGGGCCAACTATCACTGCATTTTCTGTATCTATGAATTTGACTACTCTAAAGACCTCACATAAATGGAATAATACAGTATTTGTCTTTTTATGTCTGGCCTATTTCACCTAGCAAAATGTCTTCAAGATTTTCTTTGAAGAATTATTTTGTTAACTTTTGTAGGTAACATTTTACATTCCAGAGCTGACCTATCATTTCATATGGATTGTTCCATTTAACAAATTGTGAGGAAAGAATTTTGCAGGAACTGTGACAGTTTAGTAGATGCTGAAACCAAGGGTTGGGAAGGTTAAATTGTTTACTCAGATACTCAGAACTAACAAACTATGCACCATTTAACCTGGCCTCATGCCTGCCTACCTCCTTAGGACTGTAGTAGACCACAGCAGACAGTGCTTCATCACCTTTAGCTCAGTTCCCAGTCATTGAAGAGGGGTCTACTAGCAGCAAGATTAAATGAGTTCCAACTCCCAAATTGCCTCACATTAAAAGTGTATGTGTAGAAAAGCCATTTGTCTTGGTACCAAATTAAGAGCATACTTACAAGCTGAGCATGGTGGCACACACCTATAATCTCAGCTACTCCAGAGGCTGAGACAGGAGGATAGCAAGTTCAAGACCAGTCTGGACAACTTATTGAGATCCTGTCTCAAAATAAAATTTAAAAAAGGGTTGGGAATAAAGCTATGAAGAACAGGAGGAGGCAGAAAAGGAGGAGGGAAAGAAAAAAGTGGAAGAAGGAAGGAAGGAAGGAAGGAAGGGAGGGAGGGAGGGAGGAAGGAGAAAGAAAAGGTTGGACTGTCCATGGCAAAGCTTTAATGAATAAGGGAAAGGAGATGTAGCTCCATGGTGGTAGAGGGAAAACTCTGTGGTTCATCCAAAGGAGGATTGTACACTTGTGAGGTTATATTAGTCAGAATCTATATACTGTTATGTGACTTGAACCATGTTGAGCACTTGGCATATTAACCCATTTAATTTTTGCAAATTTTCCATGCAAAAATGCTATTATTGTCCTCATTTTATAGATGAAGAAACTGAGGTGCAAAAAAGTTCAGTACTGGGCAGGGCATTTAACTCAGTGGTTCCGGAGCCTGCGTCACAAGCGCAAGGACCCGAGTTCAATCTCCAGTACCAAAAACAAAACAAAACAAAAAAAAAGTTCAGCACTTTGCCACGAGTTGGGTGGTAAGTGGTGGAGCCAAGATTAGAACCCATGTGTGCTGGTTCCTGAGTTCAAGCTCTTCACCCTGAGCCTACACTGCCCAAGATGTCTACCCACTACGTGATACAGTATTTTTCACAAATGCATAGCTATGTGATGCACAGATGCCCTTCAGTGCACAGTGGTGTTACATCCATCTTAAATTGAAATATCATGCATTGAAATTCTGGCACTTCATCTAAACTATGACACATCCTAGCTTAGCTGTACAGCACACTGTGGAACATCAGTTGTGTCCTTTTGATCATGAGCTGATTAGGAGCTGTGATCCCTGCCACCGCACAGCATGGAAAGAGAGGAAAGAACCTCATAGTACCAGCCCAGGAAAAGCCCAAGTTCAAATTTCCATGTAGGATTTCTACTGAATGCATAATGCTTTCACATCATCTTAAAGTAGCAAAGTCCTTAAATTGAACTATGGTAAGCTGGGGGCCATGTGTATAAGTATTAATGCTTTTGAAAAACAAATTCCATCAGCTTCTTTTTAAAGGATGAGTTTCAGTAGCTGGGTAGCCAGGGTTAGACCTCAGCTGGAGAACGATCTGTAGAGTTAGAACAAAATCATTGCTATTGATCAATTGCAGAATGAACTGTTGTCACCTGCCTCTCATAGACCCCAGGGCTAATGTCACTGGTTTATTCACCCTAATGCTGTCACAGTTAATTTTGATTCATATAAAAGCAAATGTGTGCAACTTTTGGCAATATGCATGCATATTTAGTTCTAAAGGGAAATAGCAATATCTTTTGTTTTTAAAATTCTGACACCTGCTTTTTAGTCTGTTTTCTTTTTATTTTATGGTGCTGGAAACTGAACCCAGGACCTCAGTGTTAGGCAAGCACTTTACTACTGAACTACATCCTCAGTCCTCCTGCTTTGTTTTGTGTATACATGGAAGACATTAGTGTGTGAAATCTAATCTAGGGGTCAATTGGTCAACTCATTCATCCCTAGTGAGCTCATTGCCTGCCTATCACGAGCCCATTTCTAGCCTCCTAGGAAACAAAGCACTAAGACACAGTCTAGAGGCACATGGAGTCAGTGGGAGCAAAGAGATTATATGCAAGTAAATAAATAAATACCATAATCAAGATGATTTCAGATAAAGATAGATAGATTCAAGAAGAAAATAACACGTAACAGTTCTCGAGAGATAACTGACAATGGGATAGAACATTCCTGAGATCCCATCCTGTTCCACCAGCTTTATATTAAGTGTCTGTTGTGTTAAGTGCTTGCTCAGAACACAGAGGAGTGAAACATAGCACCCCATCCAGCAGCAGTTACAGAAGGGAAATCAAGTTCCAAGTAGATTGACCTATAAACTGTCTGAATTATCAGGGAAAACTTCCTCTGGGGATTACAATGGCATTAAAATGTTGACGACACCGAGAGTCCATCTAGAGCAAGTGCTGGCAGTGAAATACGGTCCCTACTGGCTTTGATTATAAGAATGGCTTGGTTAGAAATTATTTACCCTGCAGAAATCTCTGCTCCCTGGATTAGGACGTTAAGCCTGGCTGGGGTGTAGGTCAGTGGCAGAATGCTTGGCTAGCATGCATAAAGCCCTGTTTGATCACCAGCATCACCCCCAAAAAACCTTTAAGCCCTTGTTTACTCATTGCACAAGCACTGTGGATTTGCTTCTCCCAGAGATATTTAAGACATGCTAAGCAGGTATAGCATAAAAAGCAAACTGGTATACATTCAGGAAATATAATCCTGTGAAACAAATCAGCCTCACTCACTTACCAAGAGGGGAGCTGGACGACTTGCTGCCTCCAGTCGAGTACCAGCAATGGACATAGAAGAGGTCAACTCCGTGGACTTTGGCGAGTTTGTGGACGTGTTTGGTAATGTCATCGAGAGATGCCCACTCATTGCAGCCGCAGTCTGGTCCCAACGCCCATTCTCGGACTTGGAAAATTTAGAGAAGCACTTTTTTGCCTTTTCTGATGCTCTCCCTCAGTCAGGTAAGGCTTCCGGGTTAGATGTTCTTTGCAAAGGGATTTCAAACTCACTTACAAAATAGTGTTAGATGTCTTAGTCTAGCTGCTCATACTTGTAATTTATTTAGCTATTTTGGTGGGGGGGGTTCTGTAAGTGTGGTCAGGTTTAGTAGACAGGAGTGAAGCATTTTTCAGGTGTTAGACCAAATTCAAGGGGAAGAAACATACATGGCTGTTAAATATTAGAGTGTGGTGGTCACAAGGAAAGACAGGGTGAAAGGGCTCATAGTGCTTTAGGGAGCAGAGGTCAGGCGGAAGGCTCGCCTCTCTCAGATACCTAGTGTTCACTCTGGCCTGGCCATGTCCTGTAAGAGTGGAGGCAGCTGGACATCAGGAAATCTTAGAAATCTAGGCTCCTGAAGACTGGCTAGGAATTCTGCCAGAGAGGGACAGTTTGCACTAGATTACCTAGAAAAGTGGATTCATTCAAACCAGTGGCTCCTCAGGGGAATGAGGGGAAAAGGAGGAGAAACTGAAGGAAACCCTCTGGAGAATGGATATAAATTTTTTATTTCTCAAGGGGAGAGAGAGAATAGAGGCATTTCTGGCTGTGGGATGGGGAGAAGAGGAGATGGAGGTTTAGGAGGAGCCAAGAAATCAGAATAAGGCAGAGATTCAAAGGCTGAGGTTTAGCAGCCCAGGCAGCCCCGACAGTCCATCCCATCTTCTGTGGAGGAGGCTGCCATACCCTGTAGGGGCAAAGACAAGGGCAAGGGGCAAGAGGCAGTCCACACAGAGGTCGTCCACAGAGGTTTACTACCCTCTGTCCATGACTGAGCCGAGGGTGTGACCTATCAGCCCAGGGTCTGCCATCCTGGATGGCTTCTAGTTGTCAGGTGGGCATCTCCAGTCTGAGAGGTTCATTTTTATTCATGTGAGGCACACTGAGGAAGCACCCATGGTGGTGTTATAAAGTCAGACTGTAAGACATATCAAGCCACGTTGGCACGCACCAATTTTTAAGGGTTTCTCCGATTTTTGTTTAGTTACAGGCTCTAATATGAGGGTCTCTGGTAGGCTTGGAGTACTCTGACCCATGTATCACAGGGACAGCTATCTCCAGCTTGCAGAGTGAGGTGACACCAGTTTCTCAGCCAGAATCCTTCAGGGTAACAGGCAAGAGGCCGGGAGCATCAGAGGAGCTCACAAAGTCTGACAGGAAAGTGAAGGAGGCAAAATGAGAGCCTCCCTGGGAAAATGACTTTAAAGAGTTTACACAAGGGCTGGGGCTGTAGCTCAGTGGTAGAGCGTTTGTCTGGCATGCATGAGAGCCTGAGTGTGACAACCCAAACTGTCTCCCAAAAGGCTTGTGTGAAAGTTTTTTTCTATCATGGAAAAAGAAGGAAAACCCCATGATTTTTCTTAATACACAGAAGCAATGAGGCTGAGGAGGGAATCGATTGAGAGAGAATGTTTAGAATGCTATGGGTAACTTTAAATCTAATATTCATTGGTTTGTCTAGTTATTCAACATTTTAGATAATAAAATAAAAAATTACTGTTTCCCTCTTCTATCCCACCAACAGTCACCCCAACCCATTTGATGGAGCTAAAGGTTAAGGGTAAATCTAGCCCTCATCCTGAGCACTTTGGGGTGTGAAAAGAATTGGGCTTGGGCTCCCTCCTCACAAGGCTTAGTGTTCATTCCCCTGCTGACTGGATGGATCCTACGCCTTCTATATTTCTTCAGAATCCTAGATCACTCAGTGAACAAGCTATTAGGACTTAAAAGAAGTTTGGTGAGTGAATGAGTTAAGTTGTTCCTAGGGTGATGTTAAAAGATGATGGACCTCATATAACCTTTTCCCACATAGATAAGTTGGAGCGGGGTGTCACTAAGACAGAACGGCTGGAGGGAGGTTGGGCCCACTGGAAGGTTCTTTGCTTCAGCACGAGACAAGTTCTTTTTGAGAGGGGTGGGTATCTGCTGGTGGAGTGGCTTCTAGACACTTGCTGCTCCACACTTGTCTTAGAGGCTGCTGGGAGCAGAACCTCCATGCTGTCTGGGTGGCTGCTCTATATCTAATCATCTTAATGACATTAGATAAATGATGTTAGCAATAGAGATAATAATAACAGATAGCTACCATTTATTGAACTTTTACTGCTGGTGTGTCCAGGCACCTTTCCAGGCACTTTGCATTTGGTAACTCATTTGATCCTCCTAATAATCCTTTAAAATAAGTATTGTTGGGCCGGGGATTTAGCTCAGCGGGTTCGGTGGCCTGCCTTGCAAGCGCAAGGACCCGAGTTCGATCCCCGATACCAAAAAAAAAAAAAAAAGTATTGTTATGTCTCCTTTCTTAGAATAAGAAACCTGAGGCACAGAGAGATTAAGTAACTTGAGCTAGGTCACAGAGCTAGAAAGTAGATAGCTAGAATTCTAAAAATTCTGATAGTATAGTCAATACAATGGCTATTTTTTTTCTGTTCTGAGGACTGAATCCAAGGCTTCACTTATACATATTATGCAAGTTCTCTACCACTGAACCACATCCCCGATTCTTTTTATACTTGTATTTTAAGACAAAATACAGCAAAGTTACTTAAACTGTCCTTGAACTTTTCATTCTCTTGCCTCAGTCTCCTGAGTAGTTGGAATTAAAGATGTATACCATCATGCTTATCTAACAGCTTTTAAATAAAATGGCAGAACTGGGAATCAACTCAATGACTTTGAAGGATTTTTCAGGGAATCAAAGACTAAAACCTATTTCTGAAATTTTCATTTACTCCTTCATTCATCAGTTTATTCAATTAACATCAGTCAAACAAAATTGTCTACTGAATACATGATAACTATAGTCAATAATGATCTGGGTTTTTTTGTTGTTGTTTTTTTTTTTTTTGGTACCAGGGATCAAACTTGGTTCCTTGCCCTTGCAAGGCAGACTACAGAACCACTGAGCTAAATCCCCAGCTCTTGATCTGTATTCTTGAAAATTGCTCAGAACATTGATTTTGCGTTACTTTGTGGTGCTGAGGATTGAACCCAGGATGATACACAGTGTTCAGCAACTGTTCTACAACTGAGCTGCACGCCCAGGTTACAGTAATATCTTAAATGTGTTTACCATCAAAATATTTGTGTGTGAGGTAATGCATATATTAAATAGCTTTGCTTAATTATTTCACAGTGTATACATATATCAAAAAAATCATGTTGTGCAATATAAATACCAGCAACTTAGGTCAGAAAGATCAAATAAAATGAGATTTATTGTATAGTCTATTTTAAACTTTGGATAGTAAGGAACAAAATCGTATAAAAGAGTCTTATAAAATGAACTAGAAGAGACCCTAAAGAAATGCACTGTAATTTTACCTGGCAAGGGTTTGTTTTAGAGGACCTAAGAAAACCCACCATCAAGAAAAAACTTACAACTGGTTTCTAGAACAAACCAAAGTTGTCCATTTAGGTTATGATGACTATTGGCCAGTAGAGGGCAGGCCAGGATTAATATTGGGCTGCAGGACTACTTGGCAAAATGGCCCCTCTAGGCAATTACTGTAGTTTCTATAAAGATAAGAGAAAAGACTTGCAGGCAAGAAGAACAGCATTAGTAAAGGGAAGAAGGCTGAAACACACACACACACACACACACACACACACACACACAACGTGAACCAATTCAGGATTGATCTGTGCTAAAAATGAAACAGCACCCTGGGGTAAGTCAGTGCTTAGGCAAATGCTTAGTTCTTGAGAGGCCCTAGGTTCAATCTCCAGCACCCACCACCACCAAAAAAATCAAAGAACAACAAAGTGTTTGTTGTTCATGAATGAGTTAATCATATATATTTTGGGGCATTTCCAATAATGCCATAATTTAATATTTAATACTAACCACTGAACATGTTTGTTGAGTTAATGAAGGAATTAGATATAATACTTTGCTTATAAGGTTGTAAGTGATTCAGATAGAACTATTAAATTTGTTCATTTGTTTATTCATTAAAAAATTAATACTCCTGGGGCGGGGATTTAGCTCAGTGGTTCCACTGCCTGCCCTACAAGTGCAGGGACACATGTTTGATCCCCGGTACCAAAAAAAAAAAAATTAATACTCCTTCCCAAGA